CCGAGCCCGTGCCGAGGGATCTGAGTCTCCCGTGTGCCCCTCCCAGCTTGCAGACCTGGAGGGAGGTGGGAGAATCAGTGCATCTGTCCCCTGCCACCTGCTTCTGCCCCCACTCCTCCCCGCCCTCCTCCCTCTCCACTCAGGGGCTCCCAACACTGAGTTCCTTCTGAGTCTCCTACAATCCTGTGCTCACTTCAGCAGCACATAGACTAAAATCCTACAGTCCTGATGCTCTTCCTTGTCAGGGGCTGGGGTAGGCGCCCCCACAATTCCCGTGTTGCAGTCTAAGCCCAGGTGTCTCAGAACCTGACCGTATCCGGAGATGGACCCTCAGAGAGCCGATGAAGTTACAGTGGGGCTGTTGGGTGGGCCCCAATCCAGTATGACTGGTGTCCCTGTAAGAAGAGATGGGGACACAGACCAGCACAGAGGGACGGCCGTCTGTGAGCCCAGAGAGAGACCTCGGGAGAGACCAGCCCTGCCCACACCTGGGTCTCAGGCTTCTTTCCCCCGAGGACTGTGGAAGAAAGACAGATGTCCAGTGTTTGGGCCCCGTCTGTGGTGCGTGGTTATGGTGGCCTTTGAGATGGCCTTGTCTTCTGCACACAGGTGGTGGGATGGCTTCATTCCCTTGCTCACTGTGCTCCGTCCCTGGGAGACAGTCACTCGTTTGAACATCTGGGTGCTAATGGTCCTGAAATCTGCTGGCTTCTCCCCAGAGCCCAAGATTCACGTCCCCACTGCCTCCTCCATATCTCCACGTGGGTGCCCGCGGGTCTCCCCGACTCGGAACGTCCAAATGGAGCTCACGGTTCTTCTCGTTACCAAGATGGCACGTCCATCCCCCTCAAGCCAAAACTGAGTGCACGGTTCTTGGAGGCCTGCAGGTCTTGCTGATTTCGCTTTCTGAACACCCTCTGCGTCTGTGCCTCTTCTGGTCACTGTCCTCCCTCCCACCTGCCCGGCCTGCTGTGAGTCCTGTAGGCTCCTAGCCCCATCTTCCCTACTGTGGACCTGTCCTCCACAAAGCCCCTGGAACTAACCCCCTTGGTTTCTCAACGAGATGAGTGCTCAACTTGCGAGCAGGGATCCTGAGCTCTCCGTTCTGGCCTTGCCGGACCCCGCCCGGATGTCCTGCCTGCACACGTCTGTGTTTCCTGTTTCCACCTGTACCGTCCTACAGCCGGCCTGAAATTCTCCCTTCCTGATGCCTCAGCCCGTGCACACCTGGCTCACACCTGCTGGCCCTGCCACGTCCCTAAGGAAGCCACCCTGAACTTCCCAGCACCTGTTTTCTGAGTCTCGAATCTGTTTCTGCCCAGAACTCTTCAGCCCTTTGTCACTGCTTGCGGCTGCCTGCCCTCCTGCTGGGCCCCCGTCTTTCAGAGAACAAATCGCCCTGCACGGCACAGTTCAGAACAACAGATATTCATTAAGCGGAGAAATGAGGAGCTGTTACAGAGGGTGGGCAAGAGAGAGCGAGAGAGCGGAGCTGTCACCTAGCGCCTGGCTAGACTCCACGCAGCCCCCACGCTTACCTTGTGGCTTCTCCTGCCTCAAGGGCACGCCTCCACCCGCTTGATAGTTATTTAACAGCAGCCTACCTGGCAGGGGGTGTTTGCTTCCTGCGGTGTAAACACTCCCATCCTGGCTATTTCAAGCTGCCCCTGTGATGGCACTGAAGGGAGAATTGGGAGGAGACCTGTGAGCGATCACAGCCCTCTGTCCCTTATTCCTGTCATTGTCCCCGCCTCTCCCACATCTAGCGTGTGGTGTGCTGGGTGGGCCTCGATGTCATGTTCAAATGCCAAGTGTCAGAGAATTAAAGGGGTTCCATACATTCACCTTATTGCATCTTTGATTTTGGCATATAGTTCCTAAGTGCTGGAGTGTGGTTTATGGAACTCTCTGGAGGAGAGGATTCAAAACGTACCAGTTTCTGTTCATCTGGGTCAGTCTCCTAAATGTCTGTTGCATGTTTGTTACAGGAGATGCACTGGTCTGTGCACAGAGGCTTATACTGGTTACAGAACCTATGTTATACTCTGAAGATACAGTCTGAATTTGAGAAGCCATACTTTAAAAAATTTTTTTAAATTTTCTTTAACGTTTATTTATTTTTCAGAGACAGGGAATGAATGGGGCAGGTGCAGAGAGGGAATCCAAAGCAGGCTCCAGGCTCTGAACTGTCAGCGCAGAGCCTGACGTGGGGCTCGAACTCATAAACTGTGAGATCATGTCCTGAGCCGAAGTCGGATGCTCAACTGACTGAGCCACCCAGGCACCCCTAAAAAATTTTGAAAAAAAAATTTTTTTTAATGTTTATTTTTGAAAGAGGGAGAGACAGAGTGCAAAGAGGGGAGGAGCAGAGAGAGGGAGACACAGAATCTGAAGCAGGCTCCAGGCTCTGAGCCATCAGCACAGAGCCCAACATGGGGCTCGAACCCACAGACCATGAGATCATGACCTGAGCTGAAGTTGGATGCTTAACTGACTGAACCACCCAGGCGCCCCTAAAAAATTTTTTTTAATGTTTATTTATTTAAAAGAGAGAGACAGAGCATGAACTGGGGAGGGTCAGAGAGAGGGAGACACAGAATCTGAAACAGGCTCCGGGCTCTGAGCTGTCAGCCCAGAGCCCGACGCGGGGCTTGAACTCACGGACCGCGAGATCATGACCTGAGCCGAAGTCGGCCGCTTAACCGACTGAGTAATGTTTATTTATTTTCGAGAGAGAGACAGCATGAGCAGGGGAGAGAGAGAGAGAGAGGGAGACACAGAATCCGAAGCAGGCTCCAGGCTCTGAGCCATCAGCAGAGAGCCCGACGAGGGGCTCAAACCCACGGACCGTGAGATCATGACCTGAGCCGAAGTCGGACGCTCAACTGACGGAGCCACCCAGGTGGCCCGAGAAGCTGTACCTTTAAGTCTCAGAGTTTGCCAGGATGAACAACGCTGTGTTCTGCTGTGCGTCCCTCCAGAGCCTGGAACTGTTTACTCAGCTGTATCACCTGTAGTGTACAATCTAGTGCCTCTCACACGTCTATGACGTGCTCACTGACCACTTCTGTTCTGTGATACTTGCATCCTGTCTGATTCGTTACTGGCAGCTGGTTTCCTTCTGGCAGTATCTGCATCCTGTCACTGATCTGCAGGAGACCGGGTGGCTAACCTTGCTTACTACATGGCATGCAAAGCAAGAGGCAGGATGAACGGGGTAGAAACTAGGATGTGTTATTGGCCAGGAAGGTGAGCATTTGGTCAAGGATTTTGATACGTTTCCTATCGCAGAGTGTCCCTTCTTTGGGATGGACAGTACGTTCCAAGTAGTGGAGATGGCCCCGGGGCCTTCCAAGTAACAGCTTTCTGGGTGTTTTCATATTTTCTAAAATATCAGCATGCACGTGATTTTAACAAAGCCTGATCTGATTTCACATCTCATAATTCCACCGTCGACATTATGTTCAGACAAATGGACTTCGCCAACTGGGCAGAAAGCATGGCTTCCTAGCATTTGCAGTATAATTTATAAATGCAGTGCGATGCATGTGTGACGGTTTTCAGGCAGAAATCTAAGTGAAGATTCCTTTCTTTGAGTGCTATAGCCTGGTATCCTCTTTCAGAGCTTATAACGACCTTTAGAGTTCTTTTTATCTCACGTGTTTATTTTGTATTTGAGAAAAATGAGGCGCAGAGAGGAGGGAACACAGAAAAGTCAGCATTGGCACAGAGTGCCCGGACCGGTCATGTATTTATCATTGTGAACACTAGGTGGCATTGTGACTCATCAGGTTTCAGTTCTGCATTGTCCTCTGCTTGGGGGGGGGGGGGGGAAGGGCGGGTGGCGAAGGTTGGAGGCTGTCAAAATAGGAACACCCTGCTTTCCTGACCAGCCACACTGTCTGACTTAGATGACAACGTGTCTACATTTGAGGCTTATTCCTCTTGGCACCTGCTCATACCAAGGCATAAGCATGTGTTATAAAACAAAGTCAGAACCTGTAACAGTCAGTTTTAAAAGCAGTGCTGGGTTTTAAACTCTGGGAGTAACACAGGTCTGGTTCCTTTTCTCGAGTTCTCCCATCTTATCCTAGTCTTTCCTGTACGCTAACCACCTCCTTATCTTTGTAATCTCAGGCATGTCCCACTGGCAGCCTTCCTTCCCATTAGCAAATGCAGGTGTCTGACCCTTGGACTCCCTTTATACCTGGAGCCTGATGGCAGTTTCTGTAAAATGTATTGTTGTCGGTTGATGAAGTCTCAGTCTCTTTCCACTGAACTGGTGCTCCTCAAGGGCCATGATCTGATGTGTCTCTGTATTTGTAAGACCTCATACAGTGTCTGGCTCAGGGGAGACTTGTTTGTTAACTGGGCGTATCAATGGATGGTAGTTTGGGTCCTTAGGTGGAAGGAGGTGGAAGAGGAAAGGGAGAGGAAGAAAAAGAAATGAAAGGGCAGGGGATGTGAGAGGAAGCAAGTACTGATGGATAGGTGGACAAATGGATGCATGGATGAATGAGTAGATGGATGAAGGATACAATGATAGGTGGATGGGGGATAGGATAGGTGATGGATGATCGTTTGATACATGTAGGTATGGATGGATGGCTGAGTGGATAAATGGGTTGGGTGGATGGATAAATGGATGACGGATGGGTAGACGGTGGGTGGATGATGGGTGGATGGGGGCATAGGATGGGGGATGGGTGATCGTTTGATGGATGGATGGCTGAGTGGAAAGGTGGGTTGGGTGGATGGATGAATGGATGGGTGGGTAGATGAGTAGTAGATGCAGGGTGGGTAGACAATGAGTAGATGGATGGGTGGATGGATGGGTGATGGATGAATGGCTAGATGGTCGATGGGTGGCTGGGTAGATGCATAAATGAATGACAGATGAGTAGATGACGGGAGGATGGATGGTTGTGTGGTTTATATTTCAGTCGTGGAACCTACAGACTAGCCACCTTACCCTCTGCTCCTATGTTTCCTTCCTGCAGGTCGTGGGCATTTTTGCTGGATTTGGGCTCCTGCTGTTGGTGGCCTCGCCTTTCCTGCTCTTGGCCACTCCGTTTGTACTTTGCTGCAAGTGCAAGTGCAGTAAAGGTGACGATGACCCATTACCCACCTAGAGGAAGGCGCGATGCTGGAACGAGAGCCCTGCCTCCGGGAAGCGTGGCCCGCCCCCACCCCACCCCGCCGCCCCCCTCACTAAACATCTTTCTTGCCTTATGTGCCCCATAGAGCTTCACAGTGTCACGCTGGATGCCGTGATTTCAGGGACTGATGTCAGAGCGCTTGCCGAGGCCCCGGGTGCGGTCACCTGGGCATGGGGAAGGCAGGCTGCAGTGGGTAGGGTGCATCCCCACACAATCGATCTCTGCCGACTTGACAAGGGAGGCGCTGTGCAAGGCACCCCGGGCAGTTTTGTCCCAGTGGCGATAGACTAGGAGTGTCTGGTGGCTGCTTCAGAGACCTTCTTGTGCAAAACGCTGTCCGTCTCCTCCTTGGCGTCCTGATGGTGCCATGTTTTTGAGAGAAGGAGTCTTTTAAGGATTACAACTCACTTCAGGCAGAATCCAATAATTCTGACTTGAGAAAAGCACTCTGTTTATGACAACTGTTTTTATTACTAATGGCATTTAGTAAAATCCTTTTTAGAAGGTGTCTTTTTGTTTTTCCAACTGAGTAGTGAAAAATCAACAAGGTGCATCTAAACCATCCTATGCCTTTCTTGAAATGTGCATTTTAAGAAGTTACTGTTCAAATGACTTTTCTGGCTCGGCCACTTTTCAGGAGATTTAGAAAGCCTTATGCGCTCTGTGTTTTTCTTGAAACCTGTGACGACGTTTTGAACACCGTTAAGCGGTGTGCTGTTAGAAACGCGCTTTCTATATTGTTGGCGTTTCTTTGACGATACTGACGTGTTTAAAGGAGTATCTTCATCACTAGATTTTCCTTTTATTTTTTCTCTCTTTGGTGATTCAGCTCAGCTCATGGGGCTTATCTCTTCTCATCCAGGTATGAGCAGATATTTTGTAATGTCTTTGGAAACCAAATGTTTGACTCGGGAATGGCTCTGCGGAGAATCAGTATGTTTTGGCTGCTTGCCCCAGCCTCCTCGCGCAGACAGTAAGGAGCGAATAGTGCTATTGATCCTCTTAGGCAGGGCTTCCTGGCAGGACTGGAGCACTCCCCTGGGGCCTGGGGGACAAGCTTCCTGATTTTCAGTTGTTTAAATGACTTAAGTTATTTTGGAGAAATCCTGTTACCTTACAGAGTTCCGAGTCCCGTTGCTAACCATTTTGCCCCGCTGAAAACACCTTCCCTTTCACTTAGGGGGTTGTACCACTCGGTCTCTCCTAGGCCGTGTGTGACTGTTACCATGGCAGCAGAACGCGCGGATGACTAAGACACACGTTGCTCCATCCGTTGAGTTTAAAATGCAGAGAACGCGTCTTTACAGAGAGTTGGCTCTCCTATGGCCTTTGAGGCCACCTGTGCTTTTAAGGAGCAAACCGATTACATTGAACTTGGGGGCCTCTGAAATAACAGAAAGGCAATTGTTGTCGATTTATTATCGCGGAACTTTTTAAAACTTATTACACATTCCACAAAGGAGTGAAACGGAAAATCTGATGTGTTTGCTTATTGTGAGCACATTTGTAAAATGTGGCGGGTTTTTTGTGTGTTTGATTCTACCTTTCTGTGTTGGCCTCGGGTCCTGCTTTCCTTCCCCGTGTAGACACTTCTTTGTTTCTTAACATTTGCTAGGTTAGAAGGAACAGCGTCACCTCACTCTTCACCTGTAGTGTCTATTATCTTTATGAAACTGAAGCCATTAGAAAGCTAGTCTGTGTCGAAATCATATTCAGAACATTCTCCTTATGACCACAGCTGAATTCTTACTCGGTAACAAAATAAGAACATGCCTGAGACTGTCTTTTCAGTGGAGCCTGGGCAGTGAGTCTCTGTAGCTGGAATTGTTGCGACAGGGCCTTGTGGTAGGTGGCTTTCTGGAGAGGTGACGCTCAGTGAGTCCTGAGGCTCGAGTCAGTGGCCCAGGCTGGGATCAGTGAATGCACTTCTCTAGTGGCACCCTTTAAAATGCCTGTCAGAGGCGGCCGGCTTGCGGCCCTGTTTCCATTTTGATCCAGGAGGGGGCAGGCCTCACCCCATCCCTGTCCTGTTGCACACCGCACAAGTCCCCGCGGTCGTTCCCCTTCCTCCGAGGTAGAACGGGAGCCTTTGGAAAGGATGCATTCCCTGGGCTAGAGCTCAGGTCTCTATTCCTAGCGGGTTGGGCTGTCCGTCTGTCCCGGAGAAATCTGTAAGCAGGCCCTGCACATTCATAGCCCCCACCAGCCTTGTGCCTTCACCCCTGACACGTTTCACAAGCACGTGGTTGGACCCAGGTAGGGACCATGAAGATTCTCGGGCCAGCCACAGCCACACTGGCACCTGCTTGCTCCCGAGTTTTTGCACCAAGCATGCCTCAATTTGATTTTGTAGTTATACAGCTAAAATCGTCTGTTCCTTGGGAAGATACCAGCAGGATTACAATGGGATCCTTACATAAACTTGCAGTTTCCTCCGTGTGACGCTTTTATTTCAGTAGGGAACGCCAACCCCATTGTTCATGGGGGTGCAGTACTAACCATGCCTGATGTAAAATGTAAACGGAGCCTGGGAAGATGGCCCACGTCTTGGATTTTAACCTTGCCCTCACTCCCTGGTGAAACCTGGGGAGCTCTGCACTTGGTAGTGGGCTGTTACATGGCATAGCTTGTCTTAACTGAAGATGACATTCCCTTTCACGGATGGTCTTCATGCCGACGTTCTGGAAGCACATGTATGTTTACCCCTTTCGAGGCCTTGAAATCCTGGCAAGGAGAGAAGAAGGTCCTCAGGTCATGGCTAACTCAACCGGTGTCCAGTTGGGGTGGCCCTGGAGGGTGCGGGTGACCTGTGGGTCATCCGAGTCCCTCTGACCCCATTGGGTGGTTTTGCGGGACATGCCTAGTCTGTCAGTCTGGCTGTCATGTCCCCTGCAGCCTGGCCTTCGAGCTTTTCAGTGGTCACAAGAGGCCGGCGCCCTCCGAGGAGGAGTCACTGTAGATGTTCGCGTAGCAGAGATCGACTCAGGACCTGAGCATAATCAGATCCTTGGAAAGCATGACTGGCTGTCCATATCAGTTCTTCCTCACCCCGCGGGAGTGGCCGTAGCCCAGGGAACTGACCTCCACCACCGCTCACACCTTTTGCAAAGGGGAGCAAGTTCTCTTTATGGAATATTATTCCATAAAAACCAGTGTGTGTAGGACCAGGCCAGTTCCTTTTTAGAGTCCAGGGCCCGTGGGGAAAGGGATCCTCAGAGATCTAAAAATTACTCCAAGATGAGTCTATCTTTTTCATCTATCTTGCTTGCAAAGTTTAAAGTTATTTAAGAAATTGAGAGAAGACATTTTCCCTTGATAGTCTTTAAAAATTAGGAGATTGGAAAGAACCAGGGTGGGCTTTTTGTATATTTCTCAGATTCTCATTTATTAATAAGTCTCCATATATATATATATATATGTATATATATATATATGTGTGTGTGTGTGTGTGTATACATATATATATATGACACTGAAATCATCAAGGGAAAATATTTTGCATGTCTAAAGCTTCGTGAAGGTCTCTTTAAAAAATACCAAAGCTTGTTTGTTCTTTATAATTAACCCAAGCCCTTAGGAAGATACACAAAATGAAGAGGTTATGACTGGTATTGCCCAAAATGCCACATGGAACGAAGGGCCTGTGCCCAAATATAGTTGCTAATGCGTCAGTAGTAAGGGAGCTGTTTCGGTTGATAAAGCCCCACGGGCGCCCTTCTTCCTCCGGCTGGTATAATCTCGTCTTCCGCACTCCTGGGAGCCTTGGGTTAGGGGTAAGTACCAGCCACATGCCTGACCTTTCCTTCATTCTTTGCTCATTTTACCACGGGTGTATTTTTACTCTTGTATAAAAATATGCACGAATGGGTCATGCACACATAGACAGTATGTATTTGGCAACGGTGGTAAAAACAAAAGTTCGGTTCTCGTTTTTGACATGTCAGTCCATCTTGTGCCACTAACACTGTGATGTATAAAAGAGCTGTTTGAATGCCTTTTAATGTTGTGTTTTGTACTTTGGAATCACATGGAAAAGCTTGATTTGTAATTTCAATACATATTTTAAATGTATTGTGTCTTACATAGTTTGTCTCCCGCCCCCTCCCCCCCCCCCTTTAGAAAAGAGATTTTTCTTTTTAAAGAGATTTTGGCTGGAATACAGGTTACTTTTGTAAATCCGGTCTGGCTCCATCTTTTGTACCCTCTTCGTTGACTCCTGGCTCGGAGGTTGAAAACGCGACGATTGGAGGCGGGAGTGAGGGCGGGGCGGGGGGGGGAGGGGCAGAACCGCTTTCCTCTTCTGAGGTTTTCTCCATTGGGAGTGTTCACAGCTCCTGGTGCCAAACTGATCTGAGTTGCCGGGTCGCTGGGTAAGCGGCCACACATTCCCCTCTCCTCCTTGTGGTTCCGGCCCAGTGACGCGGCATCAGAAAGCATCTCCCTGTTGGCCGCTTCCGTGCCCAAGACGAATATTTACAAGCCTGTCAAGATTTGCGGGCAGCGTCGTAACAATCCATGAGCGTCCTTTTCCTACCAGGAAAAGAAGAATAAATACAGATTCTGCTTGTCTTCATAGTGACTCTGGTAACTCACTTTGATTTTCATTTGCTGCATTTAAACTTTGTGGGAGAATATATACCTTACTTACGTGAAGCAGCAGGCTAAGAATGGGGGACTGTTCCCTGTATTGTATTTACATTTTAAAAACCATCCTTAGAAGCTTAAGGTGCCGATCAGAGGGGGTGTATTTTGTTAACTGGTGATTTGCTGGCACCCAAGACACTATTCCTAGTCACTGGGAGCTCCTAGTCTGGAGGGGAGGCAGGTCTGCCGTTTGGTGATGAGAATAAGGTGTGCCAAGTACTACGTGGAGGGCATACGTATGCACCGCACCCAGCGAGGGTGGCGGGACAGAGGAGGCTGATGGGAAGATGCCGTGTGCGGCCTTGCAGATGAGTAGGCGTCAGCTAAGCAAAACTCAGGGCGGGAGCGTTCAAGGGAGTGGCCAGTCCAGGAAGTTGGTCCATCCGGCCCATTGGGGTACCAGTTACCCAAGTGTCTGACCTCGGAGGGCCCAGTGCGTGGAGCCTGGGAACCCAGCTCTAAAGCTGTGGGGAGTGGGTATTGGGCTGCCGTGCAGATTACCGGAGACTGGGGGGCTTAAGCAACAAGTTTATTCCCTCGTGGTTTCGGAGGCTGCAAGTCTGCGATCAGCGTGTCACCAGCGTTGCTTCCTTTTGAGGACCGTTGGGCTGGGATGTCTTCCCAGCCTGTCTCCCTGGCCTCTCGTGCTTTGCTGGCACTCCTTCACCTCCCTTGCCTTGTAGATGCACTGTCCCAGGCTGTCATCCTCACATGGTGTTTTCCTGTGTGTGTGTGTGTGTGTGTGTGTGTGTGTGTGTGTGTGTTTGTGTCTGTCTGTCTGTGTCCACCTTTCCTCTTTATGAGGACACCAGTCATCGGATTCGGGCCTGCCCTAGTCCACTATGACCTCATCCTCACTTGATCATCTTCAGAGACCTGATTCCAAGTAAGGTCACAATCACAGGTCTTGGGGGTCAGGACTCCCAGCATCTTTCTTGGGGACACAGTGCAGCCTATAATAGGGAGTATGGTCCACAGGTGGACGGTCCTGCCCTGGCGAGGCCAGTCAGAGGAGACAGACAAGAACAAAAGGTGAGGGGTTGCCCAGCTGGGGTCCAGAAGCCCCTGTTGCTGAAGCTCCCCTCCCTGAAACAGGGCTTCCACACTCTGGTTGGACTTTGATTCTTTGAGCTAATCTGGAAGGCAGGAATAGCCCCAGAGAATGCTCTTGCTGAGAAACAATTTTGAGCAGAGAAATCTGTATGCATGTTGTGTCTATAGGCACATGATCTGTTTCCCTCCCAGAATGCCTCAGTGGTGATATTTGCCAACATTAAAGACTCAGAGGGACCCAGATTACCGGGTGGCAGAGGTGGGGCCGCACCGATGGGCGGCACGTGGGCAGGGAAGGTTATTCCGAGTTGAGCTCAGGGTGTGCAGGTGTCACTTGGGGGCGGTCCTTCACCTTCCTTGCCTGGTGGATGTGTTGCCCCAATCTCTGTCATCCTCACGTGGTGTTTTCTTGTTGACTCTTCCCGGTAATAGTGACTGGTGGACTGTGGAGCAGAGGCCCCGCCCCACGGCATGTAGAAAGAAAACTCGGGATGTAAGCTCTTCAAGGGCAGGGGCCAGTGGTGACCAAGGGAACCTGTCTTCAGAAAGGGTTTCAGAGATGTGAGAATAGGGCAGCCTTGCTAGGATCGAGGGGCATTAACAGCACCATGAGGATTTTTCCAGACGGTTCTCCTAGGACAGCAAAGTACTTCCCAGGACAGGATCACCTTGGAAATCGACATTCCCCAGGGTGTGAACTGGAATAAAAATGAGATCCTGGATGAAATTGGCAACCACAGAAGCAGATGTTGGCAAAGGCCACTCAGCCCATTCTGGAAGAGATTCACTTTAGCTGAAGATTGAGTATGAATGCGCAGGAGATGGATGAAACAAGGGATGTCAGACACCTGCTCTACGGAAATCACCAGTAACAAGGACACCATAAGATGCGAAGCTTCCTTGCCCCCATCCTCACGGGGCTCAAGGTCTGGTGGGGTTTACAAGCCACTGTCCTACATGAGAGGACGGGAACCTTGGCAGGACATAAATTCTTTTAAATCTTTTACTTTCTTTTAACGTTTATTCATTTTTGGGAGACAGAGACAGAGCATAAGCATGGGAGGGGCAGAGAGGGAGAGGGAGACACAGACTCTGAAACAGGCTCCAGGCTCTGAGCTGTCAGCACAGAGCCTGACGCGGGGCTCGAACTCATGCACCGCCCAATCGTGACCTGAGCTGAAGTTGGACAGCCATCCAGACACCCAGGATGTAAGTTCTTAAAAACAAAAACAATAGACAAGAAAGGACTAATTAGGTGACGTTACGTCCCTCTGGGGAGAGAGGATCTCTGGAGATTTTGTTTTCTGGTTCCACCTGAAACCCAAGATCCTGAAAAAATAATCCTTTTGGTCCACGAAGGGGAAAGGGCAAAAACTTACCCACACTCAGTTGCTTGAGAAGTTTTCAGGGGCAGGAGGAATGGGGCATGTTTAGAGTGTAACCTGTTTCTCTATTCTGCACAACTGATTGGTTGTCAGTGCAGGATGGATATTAAATAATCATTTAATGTTTTTATTCATGACAGGAGCAATCAGCACGTAATGAAACATGCAGGTGATACTAGACGGGGAGTTACTACAAATTAGGAGAAGCAGACAATGCAAGGGCGGAAAAGAAGGGCAGTTACAACAAAGCGAACTTCTGCTTTGCAAAACGCAAGCAAAATGCACCTGTAAAAAAAAATGCACACTGGACAGGCAGAGGGCGAGGCAGACACAGGCCTGCAAGGGATAGTAGCTCCCTGCCCACTGGCCCTCCTCAGCACACTCCACCTAAGGGTCGTGTGCCTCATAGATCCCTTCTGGGTCGTTCTAGTGAATTCTGCAGCCCTGTCCCATTTCCACCCCCAGCCTTCGGTATTCTCTCAGCAGCATTTCCTGTCACAGCCTTCAACCTTTCCTTCCTGTTAGGGAGTTGCCTTTGCGTATTTTGTTATAATTCAGATTGCATGGCTTTCCCACCTGGCTTGGTCCCCTCTTCCCTTGCTTCAGTGTCTACTTTGCTGGAGTCACTGGTGCCTTGGTCATCTGCACATCTCCGGTTTCTGCATCCACTGCGTTGAGAGCCATAATCCCCATGTACACCAGAAGCTCCCCGACCGTTTGCCTGGTGCGGCATGTGGGCAAGCTCCCTTCGGAGCTCTTCTCTGGAGCTTCATGTGCTGAGATGCCTCACGTTCCCTGCCCAGGACTGCACGGTCTGACCCCTGAGAGCTCTCGCCAGTCTGGATTATCAAAGAAATGGCTCATTCATCAGCTGGAGGTGAGAAGGGAGACTTCGAGAAGTACCTTACAGCCTTAACTGTGGCCAAGTCGATGGTTAAAACCACCAAGCTTTGTCTTTGTGTCACACGGAGCTCTCTATATCCCTTATTGGAGACTGTGACACAATGGCTTGTGTTAAATCTATCTGCAATACGTTCGAAGCTGACAGCCAGCCCGTTTTCTCTTGACCTGTCTAGCCCCACTTCCAGCACAGCACCTGATGCACACTGAAGATCTAATATTTGCAGAGTGAGTGCTCCGTGGTTCATTCCAGAAGCAAGATTTAGGGACAGCTTAGTGAGGAAAGGCTTTCTGATCTGGAGGAACAGGAGTTGGGTGGCCCTCTGGCAAGTGTTATAGAGGCCCCAGGGCGTCAGGGAATCACGAGAGCTAGATCTCATTCTCAGTTCATTAGCTGAATGAACTTGGACAAGCGTTTTCTCTGATCGCCAAGTTTGTTTGCCAAATAGTGAAGATAACCTCCATTCTGTCGACTCTGTTGATGGCATGACCATAATGGATGGGGAAGTTACTATTTGCTTTTTGTGTGTAATTACTAGAGTGGCTCCATTCTTCCTATGGAGATTGGAGTTATCTTACTAACAGTCTTAGAATTATCAAGTTCTAGTTGCCCTCCTCAACCTGAATATATTTTAATTTTTTTAAAGTTTCTTTATTTTTGAGAGAGAGAGAGAGAGGGAAGGGCAGAGAAAAAGGGAGAGAGAAAGAATCCCAAGCAGGCTCCACGCTGTCAGCGCAAAGCCCGATGTGGGGCTCGATCCCATGAACCATGAGGTCATGACCTGAGCCAAAATCAAGAGTTGGACGCTTAACCGACTGAGCCACCCAGGCTCTCCTGGATATATTTTACATGGTCCTGTGAACTCCAGGATAATCCCAAGGGGTGGGTAGGTAAGAACTGAAAAGAATCGTGGTACATTTTCCCTTAGACATCTTCCCGGAAGAGCAAACGTAAGCCGATACTTGTCAGTGGACACATGTGACTTAATCCCCACAACACTGAAGAGACGAAAGTAACAGTCTTCTTTTTAATGTAGGTATCAACAGTGTGCCAGGCACCGTGCTAGATATTTAAGGTGCAAAGATGAATCAGCGTGATAGGTGAGGTGGCCACCACATGAAGACTCGAAGAGCCAACAGGAGTAGGGATTAGGTCAGAAATGGAGGAAAGAGAAGAAAATTAAGAATCAAGAC